ATTAGAGTTTATCAATTTTTTGTAAGAAGCTTTTCACCACATTGGTGCTCTTATGAGCATGTATGTGATTGTGTGTGTGTTCATATTCAATCCATTCTGATACACTGCACATTTAGAAAAAAGTTAATGGAATCACAGTAGTTTCCAGAATGTCTATTAGCTTCTACCAAAATTTTGTAATGATACCTGTGGACAACTGAGAAAAATAGTGAGGGAAAATCTAGTCCTTGACTATTCCATTACCAAACCTGTCCCGATAGGAAGAAAGACAGAGCGAGGAGAAGGGTTGTTTTTTTATCTAAGAAAGATGGAATCACAATAATAATGTTATTTTGTCTCTTTTGCGTAGCTGGAACATCAAGGGTCTTTCAAAGCCATGCCACTTTGTCCTGGCAAAAAAATTAAAAAAATAAGAGGGAGATGTGGAGACACTACAAAGTTGGGCACTTGTAATGTAAGAGATTTAATTTGGACATTTTTTAATGCGGGAGGTCCATAAAATTATCTATTAACAAAAATATTTTTAATGAATAATGTTATTTAAAAGAGTTAATCCCAAATTGCACTCTAAAAAATCACTCAAATCTTAATTTACACATTCAAAGTTTAAAAATATATATATAATAAAGTAGCTTACAATTCAAATTTCAAAAGAAGAACAAAATGACTTTTGTTATTCGCGGTTGAGATCGCTTTAAATTTTACTTTAAAGTTAATCTAACGACTAATATTAACATCTTAAATTTAATAGAAAAAATAGGTCCTTAAGAGTGTGTTTGAAGTGACTTTTTTTAAAAAATAGTGCTCGAAACCGCCTCACTACTACCTCTACCACCACCACCACCGTCGCCACCACCATCGTCGTCGCTGCCACCACCAACACTGTCGCCGTCATCGCCGTCGCCACCACTGTTACCATCATCATCACCGCCACCACCATCACCACCACTCGTCGTCTCCACCACCACCACCATTACTATTATTGCCACCACCACCATCGTCACCGCAGCTGCCAGTACTTCCAACATCACTGTCGCTCTCGCCGCCACCAGCGCCACCATGGTCATTGTCAGCCACCACAGCCATTACTGTCTTCTACCACCATTGTTGTCGCTCACTACAAACCGATGTTTAAATTCCTTTATTTTTTTTATGTTTGTGATTTGATTTTGGACATAAATACAAATATGTTTATTATTTACCATTTTTTATTATTATGTGCCTTCAAACACAGGCAATAACTAGTTAATTTATATCCTGAAAAACAAAAATTTGTATAAATGTTCATTTGGGGCTAACTCTGTCCATTTTATTATTAAAAAAGTTTGGACTAATTATAAATTATACCTCTCAAAGTTTAAATATTTCATATATATGATCCAAAAAGAATTTTATTAATTAATACTCGTTAAATAGCTCTTAATGGTATTGTATCATAATAACTTGGTGTCGTGTAAGAGTCAATAAAAAAATATTTATCAAAATTTGTAAAAAAATTATAAAATACCTATTTTTTGCCTACAATACTCGTTAAATAGTTATTTTTTGTCTACAGTTAGACACAAATATGTTGATTGTCCAATCAAATTAAAGTTATATATGAATAATACATTTGTAGACAAAAAATAAATATTTAACGAGTATTATAGACAAAAAATGAATATTTTTTAATTTTTAAAAAATATTAAATGATATTATATGAATTGTCGAAAATGTGAAATATATGACACAACGCAATTGATTCGATATGAAAATAATTTTTGTGTTAAAAATATTCTTTTATTGACTCGAACATGACACAAAAATGTTATGACATGATATAATTAAGAGCTATTTAACAAGTATTAATGGATGAAATTCTTTTCGAATCATAAATGTAAAATATTTAAACTTTGAGAGGTGAAATTTATAATTAAACCAAATTTTTTTAATGATAAAATAGATGACAATTAGTTTCAGGTATACATTAATATGTATTTATATCTTTCTGGGTGTAAATTAATATTTTTAAACTTTGAGTGTATAAATTAAAATTCGAGTGATCTTTCAAGATACAAGTTAAGATTAATCCTATTTAAAAACCTCCACACCATTATCCCATTTTTATATTTATTACTATTACCATTATCATTCTAATGCCACCACCACCATTCACCACCTCACACGAGCGCCACCAACACCACTTATCATCACTGCCCACCGCCCACTGCCCATTACCCACGACCATCGTCACTCCCCACCCACAACCACGACAACCAACCACCACTACCATCACTGGCAACCACCACCCAATACCGCCACCATCGTTGTCAACCACCACTATCCAAAATCTACAACCCATCGTCGACCACCACTACCACTACCATGATCCATCCACCATCATCACCGCCCCACCATAACAACCACCAATGCCCACCCCACACCCATGGCCACCACCAACTACCACCACCACCATCTTTCCTCACCATCATCACCATCCATTACAATAATCCGCTGTCACCATGCATTGCCGCCAAAACCATCCACCATCATCGTTGACCTAACCCACCACAATCACCCATTATCACAACTATCATCGTCGCCCACCATTACCACTATTTCAGCCACCATCGCCCAATATTAGACTTTATATCAAGTTTAAAGTGTAATATTTTAAATTTGAGAGATTGAAGTATTATATATTTTAAAATTTAAGAGTTTAGATTTAATTTAATAATGGATATAGTGAAAGATATTAGCAGCAGGGTTTATGTGTTATCTATAATAATAAGATAGGATCAATTTTGAATCTTTTCCCACTTTAATTTAAATTTATTTGGAAAAGCAGAAGGACGGCTCAGATTCATTCTAATTTTCTTCCAACTTAATCAAAGGCTCACATTTCATTTCACACAAACCAAAATCCCGCCCAAATCAAACCCACTCCCTACACGCTATCCCCTCTGCAGCTACTCTCCTGTTCACCAGTCATTTCGTCTGCTATGGCTCATGGCTCAACACAGCGGTATGGGAAGTGATACCCATACCCAGACCCCTTACCCCTCTACCCAGACCCTTACACTGCTACCCACACCCCTCTCACTCCTCTGTCATGGCTCAGCGGCAGCACACATCGGCAACACCAGCAGCAACACCAGCGTTCTCAACCTAGGTAACTCCCTTTCCCCCTCTCTTTCGCTTAGCATTCTCAGCCCAAGCTCAGCATTTTGAAGGTTGGTTGAAGCTTTGGGTTATCAGAGATCTTTTTTTTTTTTAATTTCCTGAACATTTTCTTTCATCTGCTATTCACGAAGCAGTGATATGGGTTTGTTTCTTTTAGATATATATGAGTGAAAGTGCTTTCTAATTTTTAATTGTTTCTTTCATTGATATGGGTTTCTTTCTTTCATTCATTATCCACAAATTAATTTTTGTTGCCGCTTTGGCTTAATTTTTGTTTATTCTGGCGTCAACACGTACCCACTGGTGCGAAGAACGGAAGCTCCAACATGCCACACTCTCGAATTTGTTATGTAAATTTTGATTATGCTTTCGAATTTGTATAAGTTTGTTACTTTGTAGTCAAAGGTTCCATTTTGCTAACATTATTTATTTGTGACTGTTTGATTTTTGCAAAGCCATGGTGTAGTATTGTTTTTCTAATTCTGTTTGATAAATGGTGATTAGAAATCTTGAATTTCCTGTTCATAGAATCCAATCATAAAATTATTATTTGTGTCCATGTTCTTGAGCATTTTTAGGCACTTTTAAGAACCAGTTGAAAGATTTTATAATTGAATCATAAAATCAAACAATTGTAATCTAACACTTTTTTCTATTTTCGGTCTTAGAATCAACATCTATACTAATAAGATAGAACCCAATTTGAATCCATTTTCACTTCAAAATTTAATCCAATTTTAATTTATTTGAGAAAGAACAAGGACGGCTCAGATTTAATCTACTTTTAATTTAATGGCCTAGATTTCATCTCAATTCTTCCAATTTAATCCAAAGGCTCACATTTCATCTCAAAATCCCGCCCAAATCAAACCCACCCCCTACACGCTACCCCTCCAGCAGCTATTCTCTACCTCCCGCCCAAACCCAGTCACTTCCTCTCAAACCCAGTCACTTCCTCTGTCATGGCTCATGGCTCAACACTACCCAGAAACCTTACATTGCTACCCACACCCCTCTCATTCCTCTACCATGGCTCAGCGGTAGCACGCAACGGCGATCAACACAGCGGCACACAGTAGAGGCTCACCAAGCTCAGCCTAGGTACCTCCCTCTCCTCCTCTCTTTCGTTGTGATTCCTCTGCCATGGCTCATGAACACAAAAACCAAGCAGTGTTAAAAGCCAAACAGTGTTAATGGATGAAATTGGAAAAAATGTGTTGGCCCAAACCAATTACCTTCCAGTTACAGTAGTACCACTCGAACCCATCATTCAAACCTTTGATGTTTGGAGCTCTTTGGGAAATTTCGTCGAAGCTATAGTAGTTGTGGTTCATTGAACCCTCAAACATTGTGTCGAACCGAATTCACAACACTCACATCAAATCACTGTGTCAAACCAAATTCCCAAAATTCACATCAAACCAAAACTAATGGCTAATGGAGACCCACTTCGATGTGGGGGTGTGTGTTGGTGGTGGGTGGGTGTGTGGCAGTGTGGGTGATCGTACGCCGATCAGTGTTTGTGGTTGATTTCGTGAAGTGGCCGTTAGGGTGTGGCTGGACAGAGAGGGAGAGAATTGGGGCGATTACGGTGTGGCTGTGAATAGCTTCCGCCGACAAAAGAGAGGGAGGAAACATGGGAGAGCCGCTACAAAACCCATTGGTGAGCCATGTCGGCTTTTTGACTCTTTGGCTTTTCATCACAACCCACGTCGGCTGTATTCCTCACAACCCAATACNAGATTTCATCTCAATTCTTCCAATTTAATCCAAAGGCTCACATTTCATCTCAAAATCCCGCCCAAATCAAACCCACCCCCTACACGCTACCCCTCCAGCAGCTATTCTCTACCTCCCGCCCAAACCCAGTCACTTCCTCTCAAACCCAGTCACTTCCTCTGTCATGGCTCATGGCTCAACACTACCCAGAAACCTTACATTGCTACCCACACCCCTCTCATTCCTCTACCATGGCTCAGCGGTAGCACGCAACGGCGATCAACACAGCGGCACACAGTAGAGGCTCACCAAGCTCAGCCTAGGTACCTCCCTCTCCTCCTCTCTTTCGTTGTGATTCCTCTGCCATGGCTCATGAACACAAAAACCAAGCAGTGTTAAAAGCCAAACAGTGTTAATGGATGAAATTGGAAAAAATGTGTTGGCCCAAACCAATTACCTTCCAGTTACAGTAGTACCACTCGAACCCATCATTCAAACCTTTGATGTTTGGAGCTCTTTGGGAAATTTCGTCGAAGCTATAGTAGTTGTGGTTCATTGAACCCTCAAACATTGTGTCGAACCGAATTCACAACACTCACATCAAATCACTGTGTCAAACCAAATTCCCAAAATTCACATCAAACCAAAACTAATGGCTAATGGAGACCCACTTCGATGTGGGGGTGTGTGTTGGTGGTGGGTGGGTGTGTGGCAGTGTGGGTGATCGTACGCCGATCAGTGTTTGTGGTTGATTTCGTGAAGTGGCCGTTAGGGTGTGGCTGGACAGAGAGGGAGAGAATTGGGGCGATTACGGTGTGGCTGTGAATAGCTTCCGCCGACAAAAGAGAGGGAGGAAACATGGGAGAGCCGCTACAAAACCCATTGGTGAGCCATGTCGGCTTTTTGACTCTTTGGCTTTTCATCACAACCCACGTCGGCTGTATTCCTCACAACCCAATACCAACCATGGCCATAGCCACTGCCACCGTCACCACCCCTTGACAAACCCTATCCTCTCTCAAACCCTTTTCTGTCTTCCCCATAACCCTCCCTTCAAGACCTTTTCCAAAATAGGAGGTGGCAGCAAAAGAAGAGAAACAGAGCAAGAGAGGAGGGAGACATTTGAAAAAAAAAAAGAAGANCATGGCTCATGGCTCAACACTACCCAGAAACCTTACATTGCTACCCACACCCCTCTCATTCCTCTACCATGGCTCAGCGGTAGCACGCAACGGCGATCAACACAGCGGCACACAGTAGAGGCTCACCAAGCTCAGCCTAGGTACCTCCCTCTCCTCCTCTCTTTCGTTGTGATTCCTCTGCCATGGCTCATGAACACAAAAACCAAGCAGTGTTAAAAGCCAAACAGTGTTAATGGATGAAATTGGAAAAAATGTGTTGGCCCAAACCAATTACCTTCCAGTTACAGTAGTACCACTCGAACCCATCATTCANATGGCTCATGAACACAAAAGCCAAGCAGTGTTAAAAGCCAAACAGTGTTAATGGATGAAATTGGAAAAAATGTGTTGGCCCAAACCAATTACCTTCCAGTTATAGCAGTATCACTCGAACCCATCATTCGAACCTTTGATGTTTGGAGCTCTTTGGGAAATTTCGTCGAAGCTATAGTAGTTGTGGTTCATTGAACCCTCAAACATTGTGTCGAACCGAATTCACAACACTCACATCAAATCACTGTGTCAAACCAAATTCCCAAAATTCACATCAAACCAAAACTAATGGCTAATGGAGACCCACTTCGATGTGGGGGTGTGTGTTGGTGGTGGGTGGGTGTGTGGCAGTGTGGGTGATCGTACGCCGATCAGTGTTTGTGGTTGATTTCGTGAAGTGGCCGTTAGGGTGTGGCTGGACAGAGAGGGAGAGAATTGGGGCGATTACGGTGTGGCTGTGAATANTCAAGTGGAATGAGAGATATTGTGTTACATTTGAGAGGAGATAATGGTTTGATGCAATGCCTATTTGCCATTGTATTATGTGGTATTATTCCCTTATGGTGAGCTAGGNCACACCCCTCTCACTCCTCTGTCATGGCTCAGCGGCAGCACACATCGGCAACACCAGCAGCAACACCAGCGTTCTCAACCTAGGTAACTCCCTTNGAGGTGGCAGCAAAAGAAGAGAAACAGAGCAAGAGAGGAGGGAGACATTTGAAAAAAAAAAAGAAGAAGGAGGGATGAAGGAAGGCCGAACCCACATCATTCCTAGGCCTCCCCAAATGTGCAAGTCTTTACACGAAACTTATTCGATCTCAACTGATTCGGGTTGTAAATGGGTTAATCTTTTGTGAGATTTTGCGATTCTTTTGTGAAATTTGATGATAGTTTGAAATGGTTTTTTGGAACGGGTTATCATTTTTTTGATAACTGATTCAGGAACTNTGACTGCAAATCCCAAATGACCTGAAATTACTAATTCACTATTGCCAAATCAGATCCTTACTGACCGTCCTGATTTAGTGGCCCGTGTTTTTGAGTTGAAGCGAATTTTTTTGATGAAGGAGATAGAAACAAACAACGTCTTTAGTAGAAAAGTGGCACATGTTTTTACAATTGAATTTCAAAAAAGGGGGTTACTNAGGAATGGGTTATCAGAGATCTTTTTTTGATGATCTTTTGGTTTTGTTCTAAAGTGTATTGTGTTTTCAATATTGCAAAATACTTTTTTCGTAGCCCATTAAAGTAGCCGACAGAGATTGGGAGAGCTATAAAAGAAAAGTGTTGGCCATTAATAGAATATGTTGGGGTGATTTACACATCCCTGGAATTACTTATATTTTTCATTATCTAAAAATTGAATCAGTACCCCATTTGCATGGGTCATATCTTCCCACATTGATTTTTGAATAGTTGTTGTCTATTATTTAGTAACCAACTGAGATACTATGTAAATTTGTGGGCCTAGAATCTTTGCATGAATGATCATTCGTTACCTTTTAAATTTGTGGGCCACACACAACATCAAAAGTTATTTGTTCTTAAAAGAAGTTAATTTTCATACATATTTACGGGTCATCTTACGTATTTAATGGCACAATGATGTTGCTGTGACAACTTTTGGTTGTCTTTGGGCATGTAAGTGATGCAAAAACAGTGGAATCGTTTTTGGATATACTTTGTTGGTGGTTTAAGGAGTTACACAAATGTTGAGGTATGTTTCATTAAGTCGTTTAATATTGCATTGGGATTTTTACAATAGAATTTTTTAATTATGCTGTTTATGACGAGTTAATTTTTCATACTTGGTTATAATTGTACTTCTCATTCAAAATTTGAAGGCCATTTCTTTCTTTTCTTTTTTTTTTCCCCGTATGTTCAAGGGTAGTGATTTGTACAACAAAGATTGAAATTAAAGGTTAAAGGTGTGGAATCAATGAGGTGTTTAATTGGAAAATTATGGTGCATGAATTACCATGCAAGATTAAAGAAAAACATATGTAGAGGAGATGTAGAGGAGATGCAGATCTTTGAACTCTGTATATTCCTGAATTTTTTGTCTATTTAAAGGTAGTGTGGTTCTTCCATTTATGTCGATGACAACTTCAGTTTTTGAATGTTTGTGTTTAATTTGGAGTGTTTTAAATTTGGTTTTTTTTACAATGGGTGTTTAATTTGTGTTCTCACTCTATATCTCTCTCTCTCTCTCTCTCTCTCTCTCTCTCTCTC